AACCTCCAACTCCTGGGCTCAAGCGAGTCTCCTGCCTCAGCCTCCCAAGTAGCTGGGACTACAGGCGCCCACCACAGCGCCTGGCCATTTCTTGGTTGCAGCCATCATTGTTGTTTGGCAGGCCCGGGCTGGAGATACGAACCCGCCACCTTAGGTGTATGTGGCTGGCGCCTTAGCCGCTTGAGCCACAGGCCCCGAGCCAGCTTTTCTATTTTTAATAGAGATGGGGTCTTGCTCTTGCTCAGGCTGGCCTCAAACACCTGAGCTCAAGCAATCCACCCGCCTCAGCCTTCCAGAGTACTGTAATTACAGGCGTGAACTACTCTACCCGGTCCATTTCCAGATCTTAGCAAACAGTAGGCACTCAATAAATGTGTAGTACAGACAATTGACTTTATCTTCTGGAAGTCCCTTCGGGAGAGCATCACATATCCCGGACTGGCTGCCTTGCGCCCCCTTGTGGAACCTGCAGAATGACACATCCGAAGGGCAGGTCAGGCCCTGGATGCCCTAAATATACACCTTGGAGGGGGTTTCTCTGTCCAGAGGCGAGGCTATATTAAACACAGGCACCCAACAATGAAAACTGTGTTCCCACTGAGGGGTAAGAAGAATGAGAGGGTCTGGGGGCACGTAATTAAGTAGCAAGCACGAACCCTGCCTAGGGAGTCAGGGAAGACTCCTGGAGGAGCTGACTTTCACACTGGAGCAAGGAGAGAAGGTGGGAACCCAGGGGAAGAAATGGAGAGGATGTATTTTGACCCTAAGGGGAACAAGCAGCCACAGAAAAGCTTCAAGTAGTGGGTGATGAGATTTTTGAGGTGGCGATCTTGCCTGGGTGTGGTCAGGAACCAGGAGAGAAAGCACAGACCTGTGGTGGCGAAGTTAATCTGGGCCCAGCAGGATTCTTGATCTCTGAAAGGGATTCAGGAGAAAGTGTTTTAGGGTGCCCCTGGAGACAGGAGGCTTGTTCCAGAAACCCTTGATCTCAAACCAGACTCAATATACTCGGCCTTCACTCCCCACGTACCTACCCATGAATCCCCCTCAAAATGTGCCTGCACAGGGGAAAGCAACAGCAAGAGAAGTAAACAGATTCCCAGAGGTGTCACACTGTGTGATAGCCCCTCAGCCAGGGAGAAAAAAAAAACTAAGAGATAGAAAGTCTCCTTATTTGTTTTTTTTTTTTTTTTTTTTTT